TCAAGTACATTATTTACAGTGATTAATTATCAAAAGTAAACGGCAAAGGGGAATAACTCCTCTCAGTAGAATACAAATTAATAGAGCCCTTGCCAGGACCAGAACTCTTGACCAAATGGTCCAGATGTTCAAAAACTTGGTAAAAATACCCTTCCTTATCAAAACTTCTACTCTTTTTGCCTCTGATATGCCTAACTGCAGAGAAAATTTTTAAAGAAATAATGCATTTTTACTACAGATTCACTATATTATTAATAGAGCCCCCCCCCCCCCCCCTCCCCACCGAGAAACACCAGAGCCTCTCACCCTGGGACTAGAAGTTTGCTCATCATAAATAATCACTTTGTTTATCTGCTTACTAAGGAGCAGAGAGGATTATTTAATAGAATTACTGCATTTTCACTATATTATCAAGAGCCCCACCCTTACACAAGCACATCTGACCCAGGGGTCATGCAATTCACTACTCTGGAAGAAGCACTCTTGTTCATCATAACTATATACTTAGCTTCTTTGCTTTTTAACCAGAAGCAGAAAAGAATATTTTCAAAGAAATTTTGCTTCTTCACTATATAATCAATAGTGCCCCCCCCCCCACTTTTTCACCAGAACCCTTTACCCTGGGGCCATGAAATTCACAATTTTGGAAGAGGCATCCTTGCATATCATATCAATATGCTTAGTTTGTTTAAATAGTACTCAGGGGCAGAGAAGATTTTCAAAGAAATAATTCACCTTCACTATAGGAGCTATATAGCCCCACCCTAGCATCAGAACCCTTGTTCCTGGGGACATGAATTTCACAATTTTGGAAGAGGCATCCTTGCTTATCATAACAATGTACTTAGTTTGTTTAAATAACACCCAGGAGCAGAGAAGAAGATTTTTAAAACATTAATGCATTTTCACTGTATAATAAATAGAGCCCCGCCCTAACATCAGAACCCCTGATCCAGGGGCTATAAAATCGACAATTTTGGTAGAGTTACTCTTGCTTATCATAACTATGTATTTAATTTTTCAAATAATACCCAGGAGCAGAGAAGAAGATTTTCAAAGAAATAATGCACTTTCACTGTATGATCTATGTAGCTCCCCCACCCCAGCACCAGAACCCCTTACCCTGGGGCTATGAATTTCACAATTTTGGTAGAGTTACTCTTGCTTATCATAAGTATGTATTTAATTTGTTTCAATAATACCCAGGAGTAGAGAAGAAAATTTTCAAAGAAATAATGCACTTTCACTATATGATCAATATAGCCCCGCCCTAGCACCAGAACCCCTGACCCTGGGGCCATGAATTTCACAATTTTGGTAGAGTCATCCTTGCTTATTATAACTATGTATTCAATTTGTTTCAATAATACCCAGGAGTAGAGAAGAAGATTTTCAAAAAAAAATGCACTTTCACTATATGATCTATATAGCCCCGCCCTAGCACCAGAACCCCTGACCCTGGGGTCATGAATTTCACAATTTTGGTAGAGGGCTCAATATTTATTACAGTCATGTCAACAGTTTGACTGCTTGATGTCCCGGAGTAAAGAAGAAGATTTTTAAAGATTGCATTAATTTTGGTGGTTTTAGCCCCACTCCTCAGGCCCCAGGGGTGCAGGGACCATGAAATTCACAAATTTTGTTCCCCTTCACACATAGATGCCATGTGCTAAAAGTGGCTGAAATTGGTTCAGCGGTTTCAGAGAAGAAGCTGAAAATGTTCAAATGTTAACACACGACGGACGACGCACGACGACGGACGAAAACAGATAGCAATAGGTTACCTGAGTGACTCAGGTGACCTAAAAATACTAATTTACCCATTTTCAGAAACCTTGTCGCTTTGCATGACCTTTCCATTGAGGTAATATAATTCTACAATAAACGATTATATGACCTGTATACTTGAAAAATTCATGTTACCTGTGTCTTATGATCCAGTAATTTTTGTGTGAGTTTACTAGAAACCGACAAAATTTCTTTGAACATTTCCTCAAAATTTCATGTGGTCAAAATGGCAAAATTTAAGGGATCCCTCTCCATGGCAACCTGGTGCGCGCGTGAGTCTTCCGACACTATATTTTCTAGATCCGTACCAAGACGCACGAACGAATTAACAATTTCACAAGATTTACAATAAATGCACTCGACACATTTAAGATCTTTAAAGTAACTATCAAAAAGTGTTTCCATATTTTCTTTTATAAATAAAAATGAAAACATTAAATTTTGTCTTTAAAATATTGAGGCTTATAATTGATAAAAGAGCTGTGTTGAGAATAGAAAAACAAGAATTACTTAAAAAAAAATTTAAATCAATATATACTGAAATGCAAAAGAAACGCAACAAGCAGTAATCTGCAAAAATTTGAATTTTTTACCTGATGATTTTCAAAAATGAATACAGTAAGGTTGAACTCGATTTAAAAACATAGGAGATTTGATAAAAGTTTAAATGATTACCTTTTAACTTTAGAAAGTAACTCATGACTGTTAAAACACCCCCACACCGGCCATTCAATAACAGCGTGCAAGACTGCCAAGCACAACAATTGCAGCTTGATTTCTACGGTGCAATAGGTTCATCAATCTCGAAATCTGAGCGAAAGAAATATTCTTTGTTATTTTTAAATGCCTGTTTTTAAGATGACGAGGTCGAATTTCCTCTAGCCTAGCACAGTGTAGTACCCTTGGACTTCTGGTCCAAGGACTTCATTCATGCTAATGATACGTAAGAGCCTTTTGAGGCGTGATGTATTGCATATTTGCATCTGCAACTCTCCATCACCTTTATTTTGAGATTTTCCAGCTAGAGCAATGGAAATGTGTACTTAAGTCATTTTCAGGAACCCTTGGCATAGCTTACGGAAAAGAAAGGATAATTTATTTTTCGGAATATTGCTGCATTACTAATGGTGAACAGATATAAACCATTAAAACCCTATATTATTGCTAAATGTTTTGTTAAACATGCAATTTTTGATTTCTATTAAGCGGACTCAAACTTAACTTCCGGTAATGGTATAAAAAAAATCATTCAACCGTTAAATTACCGACATTTACAAAATTAATTTGAAGATATTCTTACTTTTTAGATACAAAATTATATCCTCAATATAATATTTCCCCTTAAAATAGGATGCTGCGTTTCATTTGCATTTCAGTATATGATTCCCTGATTTCTAGTTTGGAAAATAGACACAAAGGACATTATTACCAAATAAATCTATAAATAACAGGGTCTGTCTGTGTTTAAAACTTTATTTCTATGGTCAGGAGCTCATCACATTTGTTTGAAAGATCCAAGTTATATGATGAAAAGACTTCTGTTCATACTAATAAATATTTTTAAATCAATAATAATCTATTTGAATAATTTATTACTAAATCATTGACTGGTTTATTATTAAAATTTCTCTTTTTCAATTTTACTAATCGAGATGTATTTTCATCTTTTCTTTGAATTTTTTAAGAATGAAAAAAAAAAAATGAAAAAATTGTTATAAAATTCAAGTAATCCCACCTAAACTTCATTGAAAAAACGGAACACGTTGTGATGTTTCTTATGCTTCACATTTCTACTTTTAAGACCTGCATACTCTTGGTCAGGAGTGCAACAAAAATGTTAGAATTATTGTCCTGTCTGTCTGTTTGTCTTTCTGTCTGTTGTCAACTTTAACCTAGCCCTTGCGCTGTCAAGGGTAAGGCTTTAATATTTGACATGAGTGTTCATTATGACAAGACCTTTCCATTGGTACTTAAATTTTTGATCATGTGACCTCAACTGTGACCTTTGACCTACATTTGAAAAACTTAAACAATGGCCATAACTATTGCACTGTAGTCTACGACCCACTCCAAAACTGTGTTACCATCGGGGGTATAGTGTTTCACAAACACATCTTGTTAGCTAGTTTTTTATAGGGCAAAAATTTAGGATCTAAGGCCAAGTTTTAATATTTTTTTATTTTTTAACTATAAGTTATTGGCCTATAAATATTGCCACTTGATGTTGTCAACACTTTATAAATTTTTGTGTACTATGGTTTTAATTTTATATTCTACTGCAGTCAGGAGTGCAAAAAAAACTTTTGTGATTATCAATGAATTTCATCCATCTTTTCTAACAAGACAAATTGCAGAAAATTTTTGATACTATTTGCCGTTCAAATCAATAAGTCCATCAACAAATTACAGATATTGTTTAAACATTTTACAGTCAATTCCCAGAATAGTTTTCATTACTTATCATACACTTAAATTATGCAAGAAAATAATATTTTGAAGTCTAGAAAATATGAAAAACTTGCCGTAATGGTAAAAATATCGAAATGACAAACTGATTTACAAATTTGAATGAGTAATTGTGTCAAACGCCTTTCATATTAAAACTTTCAAACCAGAATTTAAAAGAAAATAACGTAAAATAACAATCAAGAAACAAATTTTTTTTTCACATAAATGTATACAATAGAAGAGAATCAAGGTTTATATCTAATCACTTATATCCCTGACACCATTTTGAAGCTTAAAAAAAATTATGATTTCTTTTCGTAATGAATTTTAGCAAGTCGCTTAGGATATTATAATATTTTCTTTTTTCAAACTAAAGTTTTACTAATAAAAAAATTTGAAAGTTTTTCATGCACTCGTTTATTCATGCAATTGCCAAGTCAGGAATTTTAACTAGATTGCATGTACGATATGAAGACATGAGTGAAAAATATGTTATGGTTAGTTGATTTTTTTCCAAAAAAGTTCAACTAAGCTGTCACTATTTTTGAATTTACCCTTATTGTTCATTATTCCATTATTCTACGGGGGTCATTATTTTTCTTCACACCGGCAGATGACTTTCCTATCTCTACCATTTTATTTATATAACTGTAGAAGATATTTGCAAAGATTCGGAAAGACTGAGCCCTACTTTGAATCTTTTCCATTCATTTAAAATAATAACTTGTGAGTGACCAGTAATCTGTAAATTATTTATTTGCCAGGTAAACAACACTGCCTAGCGATGAGAAAGGATTATAATTATCAATGGTGTGACGATTACTGTCATGAATTGCATGCTTACATCTGTGAAAAATCGTGAGTTAAATTTATGAGATTATTCCAGAATTAAAGGGGTTTACCGTCAAAAGGAATAAATAAGGAAATTATCTTTAATACCAATATAGTTTGAAAGATAAAAAGATTTCATTTTGAAGGTGTCATTGTGCAAATTTTCAAACAATAACTACTGTGCTCTTTAATTCAGTTGTTGCATTGATATCATACGTACATGTAAGAGATATTTGAAAATGTTTATTGAAAAGATCTATTACAAGAGATTTATGAGGCGCGGTTTTGGTATTTATGAATATTATATTGATATAATATTGATACCTATTCGAATAGGTGATATCACCTATTCCAACAAGTGATACCACTCATTCAAGCTATTCGAAACAAGAGGCCTAAAGGTCTTAACGGTCAGCTGAGCATAATTCAACACTGTAAAGGATCTAAAGACGTAAAATTGAAATAAAACCAAAACTGAAAGATGAAGGTATGTTTCCCAAAGGCAAGAGAAATAGGATGATCAGAAACGCAGCTAGGTTAAGGACGCCCATGAAATATACGCTTAACGTAGAACCTACGTCGTATGACGTCATATCAAGTAAATCAGTTTAGACCGTCTTTTTGATGCTGGATCCATTATGACGTCATAATTAATCTAATGTTACTTTTCCCGTACTTTCTCCAAGACTGTCTCATGTAATGAAGTTACACAACTGTGATAATGTGAATGACATGCAACTATTTTGAAGGAAATCAAAAATCCTAAGAAATCTAAATAGTACAATATCTTGATAAAAATGTCTCTGAGTCAAAGATCTGTTAAAAATTGTGTGCAAATTTGGTAATGTCTATCATGAAATGACGTGCATTCTCTTTCATAAACATGATAATTATTTGTTAATTATTCATAATGGTTGGTATATAATAATAATGTTTCCCTAAAATATCTTTTTGAATTAAAAAAAATTACATTTTTGATAAATATTTACATTGTAAATCTGAACGTTAGCCCAAAACAGTCATTAAATAATTAAATCCTGTGTTAGTGCAGAAAGGTCAACAAAAGTATTGATAAATAGAGTGTCTCTCATTCGTTTGTGGAGAAAGGTATATATTTTAATCACCTTTTGTAATTATTTGAGTATGTTCTTCATCATATTAAAGATTGAAAACATTCTGACAAAGACTTTTGAAAAATATTTACAAATTTAGGTGGTAAATTGACTCCGTTCCGGAAAATTTTTAGGTATTTGGTTTTGGTGTTTATGTTCAATATACTTCTTCCGCTCCACGAGTTTTTCATGTTATGAATTTTATCGATGGTGTTTTACAGACCCAACAGTGTATGTATTTTTGTTATTTCATTTTCACCATTATATAAGTGATAAATAGTGCATTTCTTTCAATATCTATGATGTATTTAATTTATGCATTTAAATATTTTGGTCATGAATGAATTCATTGCTTATCGGTAGTGTACTCCCTGACCTATGATACGTTTTTGCATGTGCTACATTGTATTGTTTATATTTTGTTGTAGCATCTACGGTTTATTCCTAGAGAATAAATTAAGTTTGCTAGCTGTCGTGTCCTCGACTTTTTGGGACAGCATAGTAGATGACTACCGGCCATGTCGACACCAAATCAACATGAGATACCCTCCGGGGAACAGACTCATGTTCAGCCAGGCACCCTGGGATCAGAACCGACAAGGACTTCAGAAAGAGTAAAAGTTCCGACACAAAAGGCACAAGAACAGTTAAAGGAAAATGTAAATAAGTTTAGAGAAAAACTTCTCCATATAGAGAAAAGAATTAGATCAGATATTGAAGAATCTACTACATGTTCAAAAGAATTAACAATACTGACCTCAATCCGCGATAAGATTGAGAGAAACTTTCAGGTTTATAAACAAGTATATAATGACAGTCAGGAATTTATGAACAGACATACTTACAGTGATAGTGAACGAATATTGATAGACAATAGCTGTAGACTAATTAGTGAAGATACAGAATCGTGTCTGACAAAACTCAGTGAGACTATAACATGTATAAGATCTATGGAAGAGGAGGCAAACACTCTTAGTGGTAGAGTGTCTTCAAGTACCAAATCACAACAGAGAGTAGAAGAAGCTAAAACGAGGCTAAAGACTGCAGAGAAGGTTGCCGAGCTAAGACGTCAGAAATCAAAATTACAATTTGAAGAACAATGCTGCAAAATTGAAACAAGAGCAGGAATGTTTAGACATGGAACTAGAATTGCTAAAACATCAAGAGGAAGTTCAGATAGCAGAAACAAGAGTGAAGTTCGAAATGGGTGATGAAGAAAGGAGTCACGTTGATCTAGGATTACCGAAAGTAGTAGGGTTTGAGAAATCTAAAACTTTTATAAAGAACTTACCTTTTAATCCTCAAGCAGAAAAGTTTGTTCCACAGTCAGATAATACTCTGCCTTCCGTGTCAACAACATGTGTTCCAGAAACTTTACAACAACCTTATACATGTAATCCACAACAAGTGCGACCAGCTATAAATCCACCACAACCCATACGGGCAGCTTATCCTAGATATCCTATGCAGCCGACATACCCACCCCAACCTATGCTACCTATGTATGCTCCTCATACTCCTCGGCCTATGCATCCTATGTTCTCGACATACACTCCACGACCAATGCAGCCTATGTATACACAGCCTATGCCCTCTAGTGCACAACCTGTGATATCGCAGCCTAGTTTTGAATCTGGGAATATACATTCTCAAAGTGACACTCAACCTCAACAGTTTTCATCTGTGCCGTCAACTGTCATTCCTACAACTACTAGTGCTACTGGTAATTTCATGAACAGTTACATGATGAAGAAAGACTTGATCTCACAAAGACTTCGAAAGTATGATGATGATCCTTCATCTTATAATCTCTGGAAAGGAAGCTTTAAGAGCATAGTGTCAGAAGCCACACTGAGTCCCCTTGAAGAGATAGACTTACTCTTAAGATGGTTGGGACCTGAATCAACAGTTCAAGCTACTAGAATTAGAAGAGCTAATCCTAGTGATACTGGTGCTGCACTTAACAAGATTTGGCAAAGGTTAGATGAACGATATGGATCACCTGAACTGATTGACTCGAAGTTACGATGTGAACTCATGAAATTTCCTGTCTTACAGTTACCAAAGGACAAAACATTGTTATACAGCCTCGTCGACCTCTTGGGGGAAATAGAATGTAACAAGAACAATCCTCAGTATTCACTGCTGTTGTCTTATTATGATACACCAGTCGGCATCAATCCTATTGTGTCTAAACTACCAGAAAACTTACAGAACAAATGGCGTGACAGAGCCGTGAAATTTAAAATAAAACATAACATTCCATTTCCACCATTCAAGGAATTAGTGAAATTTATTCATGAACTCAGTGTTTCCTTGAATGATCCAGGCTTTGTGTTTGATACTGCAGCTCTATACACAGGAAAGGATAAACCAAAATTCACCAAGAAACCAACCACTGTTGTATCAAAGAAAACTGATGTTCAAACAGGAAGTGATGGAAACCCTAAGAAAGGATCATGTCCTTTGCATCCCCATGCTATCTCACATTTCCTTGAAGAATGTCAACTCTTCATGAAGAAGTCAATGGAGGAACGTCGTAGATATGTGTTGGAAAATAAACTTTGTTTCAAGTGCTTAAGCACTAAATGTCACACGAAAAGACAATGTACAGAAAAAATCAAATGTAAAGAATGTGGAAGTAACAGTCATGTTACTGCAATGCACGTGAATTGTAAGAGGAAACTTCAAGACAGCTGCTCCCAGACAGCCCACGGCGGGGAGACTGGTTTCATAAACGTGGATTCAAAATGTAGAGCGATCTGTAATCAATTCAATGGACGCTCATGTGCAAAAACTGTTTTAGTACGAGTGTACCCAGAAGGACATCCAGAGTCATTTGTGACAGTGTATGCAATGATAGATGAACATTGTAACCGTACATTAGCCTCAACTGAATTAATGGATACCTTGGGTGTAAAAGGAAATGAACTGATGTATAATTTGTCTTCATGTTCTGGAAGGGAACATGTTCTTGGTCGCCAAGCCTATGGTTTCATAGTGGAGTCTCTAGACTCATCTACATCATTGAGATTACCTACCCTCATTGAATGCAGAAGTATTCCACAAGATATATCCGAGATACCTACCCCTGAGATCGCAGAACAATATCCACACCTTTGCGCCATCTCATCAGAAATTCCTAAATATGATCCAGAACATCACATTGGACTTCTGATTGGACGTGATTTGACAGAAGCACACCATGTTTTTCAACAAATCATTGGACCCAAGGACAATCCATTTGCACAGAAAACATGCTTTGGATGGGTTATAATCGGAAATGTGTGCTTGGATGGAAAGCACTTACCTATGCTGGACACTCCAACAGATATTACCATCACAAGTTTTAAAACTTACGTATTACCTAACGGACGATCTACAATCTTTCAACCATGTGACAAGGAGTTGAAAATATTAGAGAGAGATTCGAGTCGAGATATGGATGTTTTCAAGAGAAGACATGATGATAATATCATTGGTCATTCTGTGGAGGATCGTGATTTCCTTAGTCTTATGGAAAAAGAAATGAAAATTAGTGCCTGTGGAAATTGGTCGGCACCTCTTCCATTTCGTAAAGACAGACCTCCCTTACCAAACAACAAACCAATGGCGTTAAAGCGAGCAATGATTCTTGATTCAAGCTTAAAGAAGAATGAGAAAAAATGTCAACACTTTGTTACATTCATGGACAAAGTAATACGTAGCGGTGCAGCAGAGATTGCCCCAGACTTAAAGGATGGACAAGAGGTGTGGTATCTTCCATTGTTCGGAGTATACCACCCCAAGAAAAAGGATCAGATACGTGGAGTCTTTGACTCTTTCGCAGCATTCCAAGGAGTGTCTCTTAACAGTGTTCTCCTCACAGGACCTAATTTGACAAACAATTTAGTGGGTGTTCTCCTTCGATTCAGG